TCTGAAACTTTCACCAATCTCCTTAACACAATGTTCTCAAATCCCTGTACATTTTGCAGCTCAAAGCGGCTTCTCCTACTACTATATTTAGCTTCAGAACTCTCAGACAAAGAGATGAAAACCGGCTATAGTTCTGATCTTGATTGTGAGTGGCAAGTAAGGGTGAGAACAATCACAGGCTGATCTGAAATGTTCTCTACATTCTAAATTAAGGTTAATGCATGAAGAATAGCCAGGTGGGTGAGATTACAAGAGGACAGCTAGTTTTTACAAAAAAATGTATCCCAGCCTTCAGGAGCAACAGGGAGGGTTTAACAAATTAATTTCTTTCATCTGGCAAACATAAAGGCATCTGTGGAAGATCCATGTTTGGGATGTAACATAATCTGTGAAATGAGTGAATCAGTCTACTTAATCATTTAAACGAGGTTCCAGTAATGTGTTGTGATTGCAGCAGGGAGGGCTGAGCACTTTGGCCAGTGCCAGCACTCGTCCCTCTTGTCAGTTTCCTGGGTCATTGAAACTGACCCGAGCCATCTGGTATCTATCAGTCATCTCCTGACAGCTTCCTCTAACACCTCCCTCCATTTCCTGTTCCCTTTTCTTCTACAATGCTTGACTTTCAAAACTGAGATCCACTGCACTCAGATCCAGGGGGTCGCTTATAGTCCCATGCAAATCCCCAAAATACTGGGTATAAATCCTTCCAGCTACAAAAACCTCTTGCATCTTGGAAGAGCAATCAGGATTGGGATTTGAAGATTTTTTTTCCCATGATCTATATTTTCTGCTTATATTCTAATCTGTTAAAAGATGTCTCTGCCAAAGCAGCACATGAGAAAATTTTGATTAAATGTAAACGTTATGATGGTTTGGAATCTGTGTTGACTGTTTACCTCTAGTTGGTAGTTGTGATATTTCCTCGAATGACCGTTCAAGATATGTGCTACCTTTACCAGTACATGATACTGGATCCGGACACCACCAGTTCTCCTCTACCTTGAACCTATCTAGTGATGAATGGTGTTGGATACACCACTGTGGAGTATCTACTGAAAAGGAAGCATTCTTAGATAATAAGAAGATATGTTATCAACCTGTTTGGACAAATTACGCCTTATGTGGGACTGAACCTGGACCTTCTGGCCCAGAGAAAGGGACACTGTCACAAGGCCCAAGAAGGTTGATTGCCTGACAGCAAGAAGAATAACGACATTTGGTTAGGCATAATTACGAGTCCATGGGGAGCTGGTACAGCTTTATCTGCTCCTTCAAAACCTTGAGTAAAACTTCTTGTCTCTACCCACAGACTGAATGACAACAGTCGAACAGGAGAATCAATATAACATCCAATATTAACCCCTTCAGAACAATCATCTTTTACCACAATGATATTTTCCAGTCCATTTGATATTGCTACATTTACCTTATTGTATTATTGAGTCCCTTTTTAAATTTATGATCTTTAAGATGAGGTATATTATTACTGGAAACAAAGTGCTTTCTGTATCAAGCTTTGAGCATCAGGATAATGTATTCCTTGATAAAATTCCATATAAAAAAGGCAGAGTACAAATCCCACTACATTGCCCTGTCAAATACTCACAGACATCTGAAAACAAGGTTTAAATGCAAAGTAGAACTCCCAATGCAATGCCAATCAAGTATTTTGGGTTCAGGTGAATATAAATTGTAGGAACAGAGGACTTAGCAGCAGGACTAGGCCATTCGGCCCTTTGAGTCTGGTCCACCATTTAAGAAGATCATGTTTGATCTAGTTGTGGTCTCAACTTCTCTTTCCTGAGTGTCCCTCATTCCATCATTCCCTTGTCCATCAAAAATCTATCGAACACTACTTTGATTAAATTCAATGAGCCATCCTCCAGAGCTGTCTGGGAAAGAGAATTTCAAATATTAATAGCCTTGTAAGAGAGGAAAAACATCCTTTGCTACTCCTTAAAATCAAGACCTTTTATTTTTCAACTGCATCCCCGAGGACAAGTCCACCGACAACCCCCCCTCACCCCCGCAAGAGTAAACATCTTCCCAATATCCACCATATCAAATCTGCTGACGATCTTAGATAATAAGGTATGGAGCTGGATGAACACAGCAGGCCAAGCAGCATCAGAGGAGCAGGAAAGCTGACGTTTCGGGTCGAGACCCTTCTTCAGAAATGGGGGAGGGGATGGGGATTCTGAAATAAATAGGGAGAGAGGGGGAGGCGGATAGAAAATGAATAAAGGAGAAGATAGGTGGAGAGGAGACAGACAGGTCAAAGAGGCAGGGTTGGAGCCAGTAAAGGTGAGTGTAGGTGGGGAGGTAGGGAGGAGATAGGTCAGTCCAGGGAGGACGGATAGGTCAAGGGGGCGGGATGAGGTTAGTGGGTAGGAGATGGGGGTGGGGCTTGAGGTGGGAGGAATGGTTAGGGAGGCGGGGACGAGCTGGGCTGGTTTTGGGATGCGTTTGGGGGAGGGGAGATTTTGAAGCTTGTGAAGTCCGCATTGATACCCTTGGGCTGCAGGGTTCCCAAGCGAAATATGACATGCTGTTCCTGCAGCTTTCGGGTGGCATCATTGTGGCAATGCAGGAGGCCCAGGATGGACATGTCATCCAAGGAGTGGGAGGGGGAGTTGAAATGGTTCGCGACTGGGAGGTGTAGTTGTTTGTTGCGAACTGAGCGCAGGTGTTCCGCAAAGCGGTCCCCAAGCCTTTGCTTGGTTTCCCCGATGTAGAGGAGGCCACAACGGGAACAGCAGATACAGTATACCACATTAGCAGAGGTGCAGGTGAACATCTGTTTGATGTGGAAGGTCTTCTTAGGGCCTGGGATGGGGATGAGGGGGGAGGTGTAGGGGCAAGTGTAGCACTTGCTCCGCTTGCAGGGAAAAGTGCCGGGTGTGGTGGGGCTGGAGGGGAGTGTGGAGCGGACAAGGGAGTCCCAGAGAGAGTGGTCCCTCTGGAAAGCAGATAAGGGTGGCGAGGGAAAAATGTCTTTGGTAATGGGGTCAGATTGCAGATGGCAGAAGTGTTGGAGGATGATGTGTTGGATTTGGATGTTGGTGGGGTGGTACGTGAGGATGAGGGGGATTCTGTTTTGGTTGTTATTGCAGGTAGCGGGTGTGAGGGATGAGTTGCGGGAAATGCGAGAGACACGGTCGAGGGCATTTTCGACCACTGCTGACGATCTTCCTTGTTTTCATTATATCACTTTTTTTTCTTCTAAAATGCAATAGTTGAGGCCCAGTCTATTTAAATTTTCCTGAGCAGATAGGCCCCTCTTCCCAGGAGTGAGTCAGATGAAGCTTCTCTGATCTGCTTTGTATGCAATTATACCTTTTTTTCAAACGAGGAGAAATGAACTGCACACAATACTCTAGATGTGATCTCAGCAAAGCCCCATACAGGTGCACTAAAAGTTTCCAATCACTTGCTATATCTGCATGCTAAGAGTTTTTTTGATTCATGCGCACTGCCTCTGTATGACTGAATTCTGAAATTTCACTCAATTTAAATAAACTATTGCTTTTCTATTCATCCTGTTATAGTGAACATGTTTAGCTTGTCCCACATTACACACTATTAGCTGTGTGTTTTGTATCAACATACTTAGCCTATGTATTCCCCCTTGCAAATTCTCTACCTCATCTTGACAATTTATTTTCCAAACGTCTTGGTTTCATAAGCATATTTAGCTATCATATCTTCAGTCCCCTCATCCAAACTATTGATTGACATCACTGACATTGAGCCAGCACTGATCCCTTTGGCACACCACTTATGCTTGCCAATCCTCCCATTTGCTTCCTGTGAGTATACACAATAAAGTTTGCTCCAGTCTGTCCCGTCAAATACTCCCAACTAAGTGACAGAATGATTTAAATGAAGAGTTAGGCTCCTTCAGCCTTCGCACCAAGCATTTAGCATTCAGGTACAATACAGGTTAGATGTAGTCAAACTCCTTTTACACTGCCCCATCAAATACTTAAGGCTCAGTTGCAACATGGTGAGATACAGCAAAAAGCTCTATTTACACTATTCCAGCAGAGCATCTCTATCAATGACATTAAAACATTTCCACTGGACCAAAAGAACAATTTTTCATCTGATCTTTGTGGGTGAGATTCAAAATTACAAGTTAGTTTTAGGGTTCAGAAGCAGGGATCACAGTCAAAGGATATAGAGTAGGCCATTTTGAAGTGGTGAGCCTATGGAATTCTCTGCCACAGAAAGTGGTTGAGGCCAAAACATTGACTGTTTTCAACAATGAGTTACATATAGTTCTTAGGGCCGAAGGGATAAAAGGGTGTGGGGAACAAGTGGGAAAAGGGTACTGAGATGCATGACCAGGCAATGATCATATGGAATGGAGGAGCAGGCTTGAAGGGTCAAATGGCCAACTCTTGCTCCTATTCTATATGTTTTTAGTAATGAACTGGCCATTTTATCAGGCAATAAATTAAGATTCCCAGAGCTAATTTAACTTAAGATCCTCAATGGAGACAGATTTATCCTCACATTCTGAGAAACAAGAGGCAAAAGAACCATCTGGTCCATCCCATCTCAATTGCTCCCCAGGGGTAGTTTTATCTAGAACTTCTCAGTGACAGCTATGAATGTTCAAAATTATTTCTGCCTTCAAGAAGTATCCCTGATCATTTTATGTTTCCTTCCATGAGATACTGAGCCCACACATTAGGAGCATATTGGGATCAGTGCCCCTTCTGGGTTGAGTGACTTCATCTGAGCCAGGATAGTTGTAGCAAGTCTTCCAATTCATATCATTGTATTGGGATTGGGAACCAGAAGAGCCGTCAGGCTTTTTAGTTCAGAATTAAGTTATTATTTATTGGGGGTGCACTTTCACATCTCTAGTGAGCATCATTGCCCACAGTTGGTTGACAAATGTCAAGGAGCTCACCAGCTTGATGCTGTCCCTTTCCAGAAGAATCTTCCTTTGGTGAAATACTCAGGGATGTGTATGGAACTTTGAATAGTACCTGGAATCGGCGCATGTCTCGTGGGTTCCCGGCTGTTTTCAAACAATTCTGATTGCACTTGAGGAAGAACTTTAGGAAGAATCTGAAAACAAAAGAAAAAATCCCTTTTCAATGAGACACTCTATAGCACAACATATTGTTATAAAATCCATTTGCTCTCAGTACTATGTCAAGAAAGCTTCTCTTTTGCTGTTCATGGGAAGGAAAACAAGTTTACTTGGCAGCCCATTGCAAAAGATGGAATTAGATAGGATATGAGAGCACACCAAAAGCAGAAGAAATAGGAGCAGAGAGGAGACTGGGCAGATGTACAGAAAAAAGTCACATATGTGCAGTGACAGATAAAGAAGCATACAAGTGAAGTGAGGTCCTTGTGATGAAATAGAAAGAGGGGTCAGGTGGAGGTGAATTAGAGGCAGATGGTCATAGAGGCAGTTATGTTCCTGGTCTTTTGTTGCAAAGCAGTGCAAGTCTCAATATATTAGAAGAATAAACTTATTTTAACCCAAGACATTTTTCTCATTCATTTCCTTCTATTGTGCTATCAACTGATCCTGTGATTTTCTTAATTTGCTCACCCCATATCAATTCATTCCTCAGGTTAACTTTCAGGAGAAATTTCTGTCCTCAGTCAACATCAGTGGCTACTTTTCCCATGGAGAACTCTTCTAAAGAGTTTATACATGTATGATGGGATTCATGGACTCTTTTTGTGCTGTGCATTCTAAGATTCTCTGGGGCCACAGGCTAATTGTACTCTAGAATGCCACTTCTGTTGAGACTAGGGATCAAATATGGATCATCCTATTTGTGACAACTTGTATTTATAAAATTGTCAAACCTCCAAAGCACTTCACCAGAGCATTTGCAAGTGTATTATGGCCCCAAGCCATCAAAGGTGATATTAATGGCGATGACCAAAATCTTAACTTATCAGGAAATGAGAAAGAGAGAGACTTTCAGGAAAGGAATTCTAGAGCTGACAACTGTCAGCAATGATGATGTTATTAAAGTGACATATCAAGTTAGAGAAGCATAGAAATCTTGAAGGCTTGAAGGGCTGGAGAAAGTTATTGACATGGTTATGCAGAGTCTTTAAATCAAGAATGAGGTTTCAAACTTGAAGTTTGATTTGATACATTGACACACAGATAGGTTTTTAAACAGCATTATGAAATTGATCCACTATCTCAGCATAGACCAAAGAGTCAATTTTGAACCATCCTGATCTATATGCTTCAGTTTTGGAAATATTGTCAACCCACAACCTGAAAAATATTTTCAACTGGAGTCTTTACAAACCAACAAGCAATATGATGATGTAAAATGAAAGAGGCTGGTCCTTGCTCTAAAGGTTTGAATCCATCCCTATAGCTTGTGTATTTTATCTTCTCGAGCACAGCACAGTTTAGTGCTTCTCAGAATGAAGAACACTTAATCAATAATCAGTTCAAGCATTTCTTGACCCATATCCAGCAGTCAGCCCCGAATTATAACCATGAATTGATATTACAAGAAAATCATCCTGTTTTCTCATGTTCTTGGTTCCTTCAGATGTTTTAATAGTCATTTTCTGATATGATTGCTGCTTGCACAATTGGCAATTTTATTTCATTTGCTCTTCATGCTTGGGAAGAAATATTTCCTACTTCAGGAATTCAAATTCAGCATCAAACAGTCCAAGGACCTGTACAGTATGGGTTAGAGAGAGGGTAAAGATCCCCCTGCAGTGTCCCATTAAACATTCTGGTGGCAGGTCCACCACCAGTTAGATACTAATTAAGCTTTTCCTAAACTGTTCCTTCAAACACTGCCAGAGCTGGTACTGGCACAGTATGTCGTAAAGATCCCTCGATACCATCCCACACAACACTGCCAGTGCAGTTAAAGTGTGGGTGAGTACCAAAGTAAAACTAACTCTACACTATCCCATCAAAGACTTTCAAGGTAGAACACACTCTAGGTACAGAGTGAAGCTTGTTTTACACTGTCCCGTCAAACATTCCTAATCCAGGACCAGCAGAAGGTTTGATCCAGAATAAAGCCCCCTCTGCATTGTTGCATCAAACTCTCCCAGGGTCAGGACAACGCTGTTTAGATACTAGTTAGACTTCTGATGCACTAGCTTACCAAACACTATCATGTATGCTATGGGTGCAAAGCAGAATAATTTTGGTCTGCACCAATTATTCAAGCATGCACAAGTCAGTTTCATGATGTATTCAATGCAAAGTGTCGACACCTCCACTCTCAAGCACTACACTGAGAAATAGCAGTATTATTGCACTAGAGTGGTATTTTTCAATTTTGCAGAGCAGACTTCCTCCACAGATGGAACTGCAAAAATCCCTATCTATCCATTGCAATATTCTTGTAGTCTGTGTTCAACCAATTTTCATTTGAAATGTTTTGTAGCATCATAGAATCTCTACAGTGTGGAAGCAGACCGTCACATGCATTGAGTTCACACCAACCCTCCAAGGAGCATCCCACCCAGACCCACCCCCTTCCCCTATACCATCCCTGTATTTCCCATTGTAGACACTGTGGGCAATTTACCATGGCCAATCCACCTAACCTGCACATCTTTGGACTGTGGGAAGAAATTGGAGAATATAGAGAAAACCCACACAGACACGGGGAGAATGTGCAAACTCCACACAGACAGTCGCCCGAGGCTGGAATCAAACCTGGGTTCATGGCGCTGTGAGGCAGCAATGCTAACCACTGAGCCACCGTGTGAAGGAACTTCATTTGAGAATCAAGATATAAGTTTGCCCTCTACTGTAGGTTTGGGTAGCCATCTAACAAGTCATATTACTGTGAAAGAGGGTCCAGGGACAACTGCGATAGTGTTAGGGTTAGGGTTAGGGTTAGAGTGCCCCCTGATTATCTCCCATGCTTCCGAATCAAATGATGAAAGAAAGACGGAGGGCAAATGCAAAGTCAGTAATAACAAAATTCTATCATTCAGCTGCAAACACTTCTGCATGTGAGCTGTGCTTAAAGCTATGCTGGAAGGACAGGCATTAATGCTATTTGTTTGAGTAAGTGTTGATTGGCAAACTAGCCCAAGCATCGGGTCGCTGCTGTTCATTGAAGAAATGTATTTTTTTAATCCACCTGTTCAGACATCATGTCATCAAATCATACAGCATGGAAACAGACTCTTTGGTCCAACCAGTGCATGCCGAACATAATCTGTACCCTCATCCACCACTTTCATTCTACACACGAGCAACTCTCTGTGTCAAAAAATTGCCCCCCCAAGTCTTTTTTAAATCTCTCTCCTCTCACCATAAAAATATGCTCCCTAGACTTGAAATCCCCCATCCTAGGGAAAAGACACCTACCACTAACCTACCTGTGCCCCTCATGATTTTTTAAACCTCTGTAAGGTCACCTCTCAACCTCCTACACTAAAAGAAGTCCTAGCCTATCCAGCATTTCTTCATAACTCAAACCTTCTATACCTAGCAATATCCTGGTAAATGTCCTCTGAATCCCCTCTGGCTTAATAATTATCCTTCCTTTAACTGGGCGACCAGAACTAGACACAGTACGCCAGAAGAGGCCTCACCAATGTCCGTACAACCTCAACATGACTTCCCTACTCCTATACTCAAAGGATTGAGCAATGAAGCCAAGCATGCTGAATGCCTTTTTAATCACCCTGTCCATATGTGATGCAAACTTCAAAGAATTATGTCCCTGAATCCCGAGGTCCCTCTGTTCTACAACACTACCCAAGGCCCTACAATTAATTGTATAAGTCCTAATCTGTTTGTTGTACCAAAGTGCATTAACTTTCATTTATTCAAATTGAACTCCATCTGCTGTTTTTCAGCCCATTGACCCATTTGATCGAGATCCCTTTGCAATCTTAGAAAACCTTCTTCACTATCTACTATGTCACCACTTTTGTTGTCATCCGCAAAGTTACTAATAATGCCTTTTATATTCTGATCCAAATCATTTATATAAATGATGAACAAAAGAGGACCCTGAACCGATCCCTGTGGAACACCAGTGGTGACAGACGTCCAGTCCGAAAAGCAACCTCTCACCGCCACTCTCTGTCTCCTGCCGTTAAGACAATTATGTATCCAATTGGCATGTTACAACTCTATAGCAGATGGAGCTTGAACCTAGACCTTCTGACCCAAAGTAGGGATGCTAGTACTGTGCGACAAGAAACCTCAAATTTGACAGGTGGGGTCATGGTTACCATTAGATGAGCTTTTAATTCTAGCTGCTATAGTGGGGCTAATAGCTACTGTGCTCAGTCGAATGAAGTCACTGAACTGACACTAAAGAGAGGCAGCATTGCATCTATTGCGTCTATCCAAAGATTTGGATGTGGCGTTCCCCTGAGATTTAGAATCTACAGATATTCCTTCTCGTTTATCTGCCCCAGAGGTATTGGCTGCCATCTCATCCATAATATGAGATGAGTGACCTCCCAATTACAGAAATACCATATTCTTTTGGTTGTCTGAAGTTACCTTGGGGTGACCACAGTACATAAACATACAACAGATTGGAAACTCTAAATCTGTCATGTAATGTTTTCAGAAAGCAGATGTGATTTCTTTCAATATGTCTGTTGGAGAAAGAAGTACGGATTGAGCTAAATTGAGCAGAGTAGTCTCAAGTTCACTGTTGGCTGTATTCTTAGGTGCTTAAGTAGGGGAGCAGAGAGCTGGAGGAGCATTGCAATTGTCTCCCAAGTCCCGAATGAGGGAGGGGGTATGAAAGCCAGAGCTCCTTATCCTGACACCAAACCAATAACCTCGACTGAAAAGGCACTGCATAGGGATATTGTATGAAGGCACAATTATTTTTGACCATGATGTTTCCCCTTCATTGATTGCCTTATCAATTACGAATAGGTAGGCTGATGCTTGAAGAATGATCACTCCCGGTGCAGAAATGCAAGGTTGCTGGCTAGTGCCTGAGAACCATCTTCCAACAACAGTCAACATCTTCAGGACAGAATGGGAAAACAGCATCACCAGAAAGGGTTAAGGTGGATTCCAGAAGCCCAGCTCTTAAAATAGCAGATGTGTGGCTGTTGGTCCC